GGGGCATGTCAGTGTACATTTCCAAGAAGGAGGTAATACATAACTCTGCACATCCATTTTAAGTGTATGAACAGCCAAAACTTGTTTTCTTTGTTTTGGACAGAGAGGTGGGTTAGAACTCCTGACAGTTTTCACTGCTCTGCTACAGAGGTTGTCCCCCAGCCCCGGCCGTGCTGGCAGACACAGAGTGAAGGGAACACTCTAACGGGAACACAGACATAGAGAACAGCGGGTTTTCTTTAGTAGGACAGAGAAGGTAATATCCCCTGCGGGGTGTTCTTCTCTCTGTGTCCTTGTTGTAGAGTTATCCTCGCTGCCTGTCTAGAGCAACTGCTGCAAGCAGTACAGGAAGGTACAGCAAGTTCCTCAGATGACAGTGAAGAGACAACAAGAAATCTGATCCTTCCCCAGTCTTCAGAAACTACAAAACGCTTCTGACTTGACAGCACATTGTGTCTTCCAACCCACTCTACAGCACATCCAGCCCACCACATCAGTCCTCTCCATCACCCTACACTTCTCTATCGCCATGCAGCACCCCACACACTTCCATCTCCACGCAGCACATCGCACATCTTTATTGCCATGCAGCACGTCGCACATCTCTATTGCCATGCAGCACATCTCTATCGCCACGCAGCACATCATACATCTCTATCTCCATGCAGCACATCGCACATCTCCATGCAGCACATCACACATCTCTATCGCCATACAGCACATCGCACATCTCCATGCAGCACATCACACATCTCTATCGTCACGCAGCACATCACACATCTCTATCGCCATACAGCACATCTCTATCGTCATGCAGCACATCACACATCTCTATCGCCATACAGCACATCTCACATCTCCATGCAGCAGATCACACATCTCTATTGCCATGCAGCACATCGCACATCTTTATTGCCATGCAGCACATCTCTATCACCACGCAGCACATCACACATCTCTCTATCACCATGTAGCACATCTCCATTGCCATGCAGCACATCGCACATCTCCATGCAGCACATCTCATATCGCCATGCAGCACATCTCACATCTCTGTCGCCATGCAGCACTTCGCACATCTCCATGCAGCACATTGCACATCTCCATCAGCACATCATCATCGCAATGCAGCACTTTGCACATCTCCATGCAGCACATTGCACATCTCACATTGTTGCATGCAGCACATTGCACATCTGCATGCAGCACATTGCCATGCAGCACACTGCACATCTCCGTTGCTATGCAGCACATCACACATCTCTATTGCCATGCAGCACATTACCATGTAGCACATCTCACATCACCATGCAGCACTTTGCACATCTCCGTCACCATGCAGCACATCTCCATCACCATGCAGCACACTGCACATCTCCATGCAGCACATCTTTCATCGCCATGCAGCACTTTGCATATCTCCATGCAGAACTTTGTATATCTCCATCACCATGCAGCACATTGCCATGTAGCACATCTCACATTGCCATGCAGCACTTTGCACATCTCCGTCGCCATGCAGCACATTGCACATCTCCATGCAGCACATCTTCATCGCCATGCAGCACTTTGCACATCTCCATGCAGCACTTTGCACATCTCCATCACCATGCAGCACATTGCACATCTCCATGCAGCACATCTTCATCGCCATGCAGCACTTTGCACATCTCCATGCAGAACTTTGCATATCTCCATCACCATGCAGTACATCTCTCTTCTCCATGCAGCACTTCACAAATCTCCATCACCATGCAGCACATCGCACATCTCCATGTAGCACATCTCCATTACCATGCAGCACATCACACATCTCCATTGCTATGCAGCACATTGTATGTCTCCATGCAGCACAGCACACACCTTCTTTGCCTTTCAGGACCTCAACCACCTGCAGCACCCCTCCATGCAGCACATGGCACACTTCCCTCACGCCTCTCCATCCCTCTGCAGCATATGTCACTCCCCCTCCCCCCAGTACGGCAGTGGTGCAGTGACACTCATGTAGTCATTCATGCTCCCTCTGCCCACACACACCTACCACCATTTCACAACACACGGTCACATGACCCGGCTGATCACTGGCAACTGCGGTCACATGACCCAGCCTCATCTCTGGGCTATCGCACCAATAGAACGTATCGGCAGCACTCTGGCAACCCCCGGGCAAACAAACGCCCACTTCTCCCCCCGCGCCCGTCGATTGGGTATTAATTCCCGGCCGAGGAAGGTGATTGGCCGCCCCTCCTGTCCGTCTGATAGTCGGGTCCCGCAGCGCTTTCTCCAAAGAGTTGTCTCCTCACTTCCTGTGAGCGGAGCGCTGAGTCAAAGTGCTGTGTGTGCCGGAGGAGGCAGGCGGTGCTGGGACAGTGCGGGGACACTGGGCGCCTTTGTCCTCTCTCCACACTCCGCAATGGCCTCATTATCTCCCTGTTAGTGAAGTGTGAGGAGCCTTTGTGTGCCGGGAGCAGCCGGAAGACTTGCAGTGTGTGTGAGCCTCCGTCCTCCTCATAGAAGGTGAGTGTACACCTGGACTACCTACCTGACCTCCCTGGTCATGGTGTGTGGCCTCACCCTGCTATGTTGGGACATGGGCAGTCCTCAGCCAGAACATTGATGACCTCATTACAATGGCACCTGACAATGGGTGGGATGTATGAGGCAGCAAGTGAACATGTTGGCCCTGAAGTTGATGTGATGAAAGCAAAGAAAACGGGCAGGTGTAAGGATTGGAGGGACTCTGACAAGGACCAGATGGTAATGGCTGGATGATGGGTCAGAGGAAGTCCAGATCTTGTCAGATGTCCCTGGTGTGCAGGGGTCAGGAGCTACAGAAAGTGCGCCCTGGAGGGGAGATCAGTGACGGGGTCATGGTGGCCAAGGGTCAGGAGCTACAGAAAGTGCGCCCCGGAGGGGAGATCAGTGACGGGGTCATGGTGGCCAAGGGTCAGGAGCTACAGAAAGTGTGCCCCGGAGGGGAGATCAGTGACGGGGTCATGGTGGCCAAGGGTCAGGAGCTACAGAAAGTGCGCCCCGGAGGGGAGATCAGTGACGGGGTCATGGTGGCCAAGGGTCAGAACATAAGTAAGACTCGACCTCCTCCCACCCTATTCTATCTAACCCTGGAAAGAAAAGATCGCTATACTTGGGCTGCTTTCACACAGCTCTGTATGACTCACACATATGTGCTTTTCTGTGTTGTGTTACATTTAACACCATGCATTTTATGTCTTTATGCCAGGTTTGTGTTGTGTTTTCCCCATATCACTTCCCGCTGATCTAATGCGATTTCCAGTGGACTATTGATGCCCCTTCAGTAGTTCTCAAGCCTGGCTTCACAGAATTCCATGACCAGGGAAATCAGATTATATCCTGAATTCAGTGTCATTTCTGCCCCATACACTTCTATGGTATTCACAGAAGTCACATCAGCATAGATCAGAAACATTCCTAGGTGACTTTGATGGACTCAAGTGGTGTTTTTTTTTTTTTTTCCTTTTTTTTTCTCTTTAAACCTCACCTCTCCTCCCTCATCCATGCTGCCTAAAACCTAGGTTCACACTGAAGCCGTTTTGACCCTTCCATGGGTCCACGGGTCGGCGTTTCCATGGGTCCACGGGTCGGCGCTTCCGTGGATCGAAGGAAGGATTGATCGATTTAAGGAAGGCTCCAAAATTGCAGCTGTATAAAAATAAAGTATGGCCAGAAAGGAGAGGTCAAGGTTAAAAAAAAAAATACACTGAATCCATGAAAGTCCTATAGGCATGCTTCTTTTCTATGTTGGTGCAACTTCTGTGAGAAAACATAGAAGTCTATGGTGCTGAAATCGCACTGAAGTCCACCAGGAACCTTTTCCAAAAATGCTGAGTTGGGGACCATTGAATATTATTATTATACAGGATTTATATGGTGCCAACAGTTTGCTCAGCGCTTTACAATATAATGGGAGACAATACAGCAACAATACAGTTCAATACAAGAGGGATAGGAGGGCCCTGCTCCTTGCAGCTTACAATCTAAGAGGGAGGGGCTGGTGGTACAAAAGGTAGTAACTGTGGGGGATGGACTGGTAGGAGGAATAGAAGATTCCATTGTTAGCTGAGGGCAGATTTTCAGAGATCGCCTAAAAGTGATCAGAGTAGGCGATAGTCTCATAAATTGGGGTAGAGAGTTCCAGAGGATGGGGGCAGCTCTGGAGAAGTCCTGGAGACGAGCAGACAAGGGAGCTAGAGAGCAGGAGGTTGTGCGAGGAGCGGAGAGGACGGTTATAATGTGATTTGCCTTGTCGTGCGATTCTGTAATGCACAGGTGCATTGTGTTATTGATGCGTTTTTGATGCTTCCATTAATTTCAATGGAGGGGAGCATTTTTGGTGCGGGGTTTTTTTTTCCCACCAGACCAAACCTGTACCAGAAATGCACATGCAGGATAGGCTTCCCTGAAGAGAGGTTTTCAGAGATCGCCTAAAAGTGAGCAGAATAGGTGATAGTCTGATAAATTGGGGTAGAGAGTTCCAGAGGATGGGGGAAGATCTGGAGACGAGAATGGGAGGAGGAGACAAAAGAGCTAGAGAGCAGGAGGTGGTGCGAGGAGCGGAGAGTATGGTTTGGGTGATATTTGGAGACAAGATCGTTGATGTAATTTGAGTTATAAATGGCTTTATATGTTATTAATGTTTTTTGAATTTTATCTGTTGGGCAATGGGAAGCCAGTGGAGGGATTGGTAGAGAGGGGGTGACGTACACTGAATGGGGGCCAGTGGAGGGATTAGCAGAGAGGGATGGAGAACACTGAATGGAGGCTAGTGGAGGGATTAGCAGAGAGGGATGGAGGCCAGTGGAGGGATTGGCAGAGAGGGATGGAGGACACTGAATGGAGGCTAGTGGAGGGATTAGCAGAAAGGGATGAAGGACACTGAATGGAGGCTAGTGGAGGGATTAGCAGAGAGGGATGGAGGACACTGAGTGGAGGGATTAGCAGAGAGGGATGGAGGCCAGTGGAGGGATTGGCAGAGAGGGGTGGAGGACACTGAATGGAGGCCAGAGGAGGGATTAGTAGAGAGGGATGGAGGACACTGAATGGAGGCCAGAGGAGGGATGGAGGACACTGAAAGGAGGCCAGAGGAGGGATTAGCAGAGAGGGATGGAGGACATTAAATGGAGGCCAGAGGAGGGATTAGCAGAGAGGGATGGAGGACACTGAATGGAGGCCAGTGGAGGGATTGGCAGAGAGGGATGGAGGCCAGTGGAGGGATTGGCAGAGAGGGATGGAGGCCAGTGGAGGGATTGGCAGAGAGGGATGGAGGCCAGTGGAGGGATTGGCAGAGAGGGATGGAGGCCAGTGGAGGGATTGGCAGAGAGGGATGGAGGCCAGTGGAGGGATTGGCAGAGAGGGATGGAGGCCAGTGGAGAGATTGGCAGAGAGGGGTGGCAGATACAGAACGGTTAGTAAGGTGGATGAGTCTGGCTGCAACATTCATGATAGGCTGAAGATGAGCTGGTCGGCCAGGAGGGAGGAGGGAGTTCCAATATCGTACGTTGTATCCCTCAGACTTTTCAGCATTTCCGTTGCTCCTCTCTGGACTTGGCCTGTGTTGTGAATGCTCCTACTATTCCCCTGTTGTGCCAATACTTTGTAGATCTCTTTAAATAAAGAAAATATAAAATAAAATGAGTGACATAAATCTGCCTTCAGTAAAGCTTTGGGTCCAGGAGGTTTTGTGGCTTCCATTTCATACCGTGGTGCTATCTTCCTTCTGATCCCTGGGGGGAGAAGATGCTTGCCGCTCAGTGTAGAGGTGAAGAGGTTTCCAGGCAGCTTTCCTAGTACTTCTAAACTATACTTTCCAAGTATAGTGGTACAAAAGGTAGTAATTGTGGGGGATGGACTGGTAGGAGGAATAGAAGATTCCATTGTTAGCTGAGGGCAGGATAGGCTTCCCTGAAGAGATAGGTTTTCAGAGATCGCCTAAGAGTGATCAGAGTAGGCGATAGTCTGATAAATTGGGGTAAAGAGTTCCACAGAATGGGGGAAGCTCTGGTGAAGTCCTTGAGATGAGCAGACAAGAGAGCTAGAGAGCTGGAGGTTGTGCGAGGAGCGGAACAGAGCAGTGTGAAGAGCTAGATAGGATTTAAAGGTATACAGCTTTCTTCCGCCTTTAACTGGAGAACAGACCAAAAGTGGTTCTGTGTGAAAGCAGCTTTACCTATTCTGCAGCCACTCTGGTCTCCAGCAGCGGCTTCAATGTAGAGGAGGGATCGCTGACAACGGTTGATAATGTCTAGATGACATCACTCAATGGGGTATCTGTTGTCATCTGCCCTGCTCTACACTGAAGCTGCTGCTGAGAAGCTGATCATGGGACGGGAGTGACTCCAGAATAGGTAAGTATTCAGATCTTTTCCTAACAGAGTTAGATAGAATAGAATAGCCTTAAAGTGGAGGTGGGATTAGGTTTAGCATTAAGGGGGTCATACATAATTAGAATATCATTTGAAAAGTGGTCAGTCTGCTTGATCATTTGACTTTAGAAATATTAGTGGGCTCATCTTGCTTCTTGAAAAGCAAAGTTTTATGGCCAAAAGAAGAACCATCATGTTGGATTTTTGTAGCATAAACAATGATTTTCTAAACATTAGTAGTGGAATCCATCAGAAACAGTTGGAACAACTTACTGCGCATGCGTGTGTTAAATGTTACCCCGGAAGTACAAGCAACTAAAGAAAGATCTTTCTCCTTTATACAGTTGGCGAGTGGGAGGGCTCACAAAGGTCAAAAAATCTGTACATAATTTCTGCTGATCGTTCAACGATCAACAAAAAGTTTACCATTTATGTTGTCAATGATTGATAATATGTTGACAATTGGGGGAAAATTCAATACAATGATGCCGTTATTGCATGCACATTTGACAGATCTTTTTCAGATACAACTGTTTTTTCGAACGATTTTCTGACCATGTATGGTCACTATTAGGTTTTTGCTTGTACTTACCCTGCATTAAAGTGGTTGTAAACCTCAAATATGAACAAAGAACATCCCTCTGTAGTGTGTACTTGTCATTTTCCAGAACATATGGGGGTTTATTTACTAAAGCTGGAGAGTCCAAAATCAGACTCCCTTCTGCATAGAAACCAATCAGCTTCTAACCTCAGCTTGTTCAATGAAGCTTTGGCAATGAAACCTGGAAGCTGATTGGTTTCTATGCAGAAGGGAGTCTGATTTTGGACTCCCCAGCTTTAGTAAATAAACCCCTAAGTGTCATTTCTGTCTGCTGCTTTGTTCCTCTATCAGCATGAATCGCTTCTGACAAGTTTTTCTGACACCAAGAGAAAAATGGTGACAAGGGTGGAAGCTCCACTAGATTGACAGCCCTGGCTCCTGTGAGCTGGGGGTGTGTCTGTTTCCTCCAATCAGCTCTCAGAGCTCTCCTTACTGAGCTCTGCAGAGTGTAACTTCAGCTCTCGTCCCCTATTTGTATTGTCCTCTCACCTCCCTTTTATACTTTCCTGAGTCCTATCCTGATGCAGTGCTGTGCCTGTCTGCAGCAATGTTTGCCTGTGTTCCTCTCCTCACAGGCTACAGTGATAGCAGTGAGGGTCATTGGCTCCCAAATCCTGTGAGGAGGGGTCAGGGCTGAGCTGTACTTTGTGTGTCAATTGACACACACAGCCCGGCACAGGAGCAAACCCACAGATGTTCCACCTTAGGAGTTTGCTTTCTTTTGTGGCTCACTGAGAAGAAGAGAAGCCAAGAGCACTGGTGGGGGATCTCAGAAGAGGCGGTTGCGGCATTCATGGGGCTAAAACAGGCAGTGAGGAGGCGAGATATCACCTCCTCATTGCCTATCAAAACACATCTGAAAAGAGATCAGAGCGTGGATCACTTTTCAGAGGAGTGGTCCTTTTGGCTAGTGTAAACAAGGCTGCTGCTCTGTAATCTCGGCTCTTTTGTCATCTTTGACCTATTGTCTGCATTGAATTGAACAAACAGTCACAGTGATTTCAAAATTGAGTCACTGTCTGACCACATCCAGTCATGAGTCTCGCAGGCAGATGTATGTAGGGAAGGATGGTGATTCAGAAGCTGTACAATGCAACTGGTTATTAAAGTTTGCTAAACCTCTCAGACGTTTACCCTTCAGATCTCCGGGCCCTTTCAGATCTATGCTTGTGGGTAGTGGTGTGTCTTTATTGTAGCTTTAGGCAGGTGGGTTATCATTCAGGTTGACGTATGATTCCTGTGTGTGTGCACATGAGCTTCGAAATGCATTTCAGGATTTGGAATAGACAGTTATTGGTTAAGGCCTTTCAATACTTGTTGCCGGTGCCTTAAAATGCATGTTATACGTGGTGCCTTTTCAGTGACTTCTATGGACCCCCAATGTACAAAAAAATGCATGCCGTATGTTTGAAACTGCACTGTGAAAGTGAGATGGGAATGAACACATTTAGTATGGGGCAGGTGGACATGCACTTGCTAAAAATACTTTTATTTTTTTTTTTTTCATTTTAGATAAAGTAAAGAAGAGTTAAAACCCCTGTCTGGTTTTTGTTTTTCTTTGTCACCTGTGTCCCATTGAAGAAAATTACTGTCACTTCCTGTCCCATAGTCAAAAAAAGGGAAAGGAAATCCCTCCAAAGTGATGGAATCTCTGGTAGCCATCAGGTTTACTAGAACCATTCCTTACCTGAGCTCTCTCCGATCCAGCCATGTTCTCGACAGCCTCTGCTGTCTGGGGACTCTTTCTCCTCATTGGCTGAGACAGCAGCAGGAGCCCATTGGCTCCTGCTGCTGTCAAACACAGCCAGTGAGCCAATGAGGAGAGAGCCGAGCTGCAGCTCTGTGTCTTATGGACGCATAGAGCAGTGGCTTGGGGACGAGCATGCAGCAGTGCCCCCAGTGTGAGCAGCTTTTCCTAGGGGCACTGCTCGAGGGAGAGGAGCCGGGAACGCCAGTGGGGATCCGAAAAGAAGAGGTTTAGGGCTGCTCTGTGCAAAATCACTGCACAGAGCAGGTAAGTATAACATGTTTGTTATTTAAAAAATACAAAAAGCTTTGTCACTTCAGAAGCTTGTTCACACTTGACTCAAAATGCTAGCTCTTAAAAACACATAGCGTTATTGCATGTTAATATGTGCGTTTGACGTACATTTAACCCGTGTTAAAAACGCTCTGACCTATGCGCGTTTTTGGGATGTTTGATACGTGTTAAAATGACACTACAAACGCCTAATTTTTTTTTTAAAGGTAAACTGTAATGTTATTAACGCGCCACAAATGTATGCCAGCATGTTTGCAGTGCGTTACCATGGACTTGAATGGAAGGAGTTGAAATGCTTCAACGCCTTCAAATTACAAAAAAGCTTCAATTTTGAAGCAAAGCCCGCCTCCAGGACTTCTCCAGGGTGTCACCCATCCTCTGGAACTCCCTGCCCCAACCCATCAGATTATCACCTACTCTCCTCTCCTTTAGGCACACCCTGAAAACCCATCTCTTCAGGGAAGCCTACCCCACCCCCTGCTAACTTGCCAACCTCCTCAACTCTTCCTACCACCCCATCCCCCACAGCTATCTCCTCCTGTGCCACCATCTCCTCCCTCCTAGATTGTAAGCTTGAAAGAGCAGGGCCCTCGATCCCCTCATGTTTTGCATTGTATTGATATTGTAATGTACAGCGCTGAGCGAACCATTGGCGCTTTATAAATACTGTATAATAATAATAATAATAATAATGTTTTGATAAGGCACCATGCAGACTAGTGTTTTTTTTTTTTGCCCCTAGAAGCTAACTAGTCTTATCCTATGTGTCCATGCACTCTACTTTAGGCTATTCGTGTTTTGTGCTTCAGCTAGGAGTAGAAAAAATAGTTTTTGTAGTGTTGTTGTTTTTTTTTTTTTTTTTTTTTTTTTTTTTAAGCACTTTTCTAGTGGAAAGCTCCTAAACGCTACTAAAACATTCCTAACAGCTTTTTTTCAGCTTTTTTTTTTTTGTACTGTTAAAATGCTAACACTCCTAAACATTCCTAAATGGTACTACAAGCTGGATCAAAAATGCTGTTATCAGCATCTTTCTTCTAGCTAGCACTTTTTGAGCTTATAAAAAACACTAGTGTGCATGGGACCTAAAGCTTTTTTTTTTTTTTAAATCGAGTATTTTTATTTATTTGAAAACTGTTTTTATTAACAATTTTGCATGTATATACATAATGAACAGTACAAAACTGCAACTGCAGGCGAATGACAACAGTTATACAAGGAAAAACTATACAAGATGGGAAACAATGCCTGTGGTTAGTACAGCAAGTGTCTGTCTGTGATATATCATCAGGAGAGAAGGGACCTCTCTACAGTAACACATACAAAATAATGCAGGCCATAGACGGGTCAAACATCGGCCGATTTTTCGAACGATAAACGAAAAATCGGTCGTTCGTTCAGCTGACGTTACCACCAACGAGTAAAAAATTTGTCCAACTAAATCATAAAGTTCACCCATAACTTCTGTCCCTTTCAGGTCACAGCTC